TACAAAATCACCCCCTCATGTTTGGTCAAACTGTCAGAATATGGGACCTCTCTTTAGAACGAGATGAAGAAGAGGAAGCCGAGTTTAAAGCCAAAATACAAGAGGAAGTACATGCGCCTACAGATTTGCCTCCACAACTTCTTTTTGTTCATCAGGTTAGTTGCAATTTTGAATGTTGATTTGTTGTTTGTGATGAGAAAATGTTTTATGTTTTGACTTTTGTTGACTTTTTTTTTTTGGTGAACAGGGTCAGAAAGACTTGAAAGAGCTTCATTGGCATACACAGATTCCAGGAATGTTGATTTCTACAGCTGCTGATGGTTTTAATATATTGATGCCTTCAAATATTGAAACTAATCTTCCTCCCGCTAATGCTGCTGCTTGAAATGAAGGTTTCAGTTATGGAGAAAATTCAGGAAATTTTAAATAACCCGAAAGGGGTAAATTTTGCATGTTATATTTAAAGAGAGCATCACATGAGACATATTGTAGTTTGTTGGAGTGTTTTAAAATTTTGAGTTATGTGAAAATGGGGTTGAATGGTAATGATTTAATGCAAGCAGTCTTTTTTTTTTTTGGTGTAACTTTTGAGTTTTGCTTACATTTTATATCAATGTTATATATACATGTTAAAAATGTGAACTTTTACGATCGAGATATGCTATGATGATGAAGGTTGAATTAAATAGTAAACTATTTTATTTGTGTTCATTTAGTTATTAAATTAAATTGTAAGATGTTAGTACACTTATTGTTTTTTATTCAAATTGGTTTTTATGACCGGTGATGGCAAGATTCAGTAACCGATTTGAATAAAAAATTAAAATTCTAATTTGTTTTCAGCATTTTTTTTTGTAACCGGTGATGACCTTTTAGTGCTTGATTTGAGTAGATCACGTAACCGTCAGTTTTGGGTAAATTGAATATAATTTGTTTTCAGCATTTTTTTTTTGCATGGGCTAAGAAAACCAGATTAACAATTATATAATTATTACATATTTATTAATATATATATTTTTGAAACGGCTATTAATAGTTAATATTAAACATTTAAAACACCCCATCTCGTGAACCCTTATTTGGGAATTGTCTGTTAGAGCACATTATATTATTCGTTCATAATTTCCAAATAGAAGTCCTAGAAGCAGCTTCCCTTTTGTTCCCTCCTCCTTTGTTTGGACTTCGGTTGTTGACACTTCATAATTCACATTGACGCCTCACACAACCACCAAACCAAAATTCTTTTTTTCAATTTTTTTTTTGACAAATTAAAACTTTATATAGGTTCGTACTTCTCTCGTTCTTTGTACATAAACTCTCTAATTGTAACCCTTGTTGCTATGTTGCTCTTTTTTTGTACATATTATGATACTAACATGTTTGATAATCGACACTCAAGTCATAAAATACCTCTTAATTGAAAAATTAAGAAGTGACCTCTTAAAAATTTAGATGTACCATATTTGATAGCCTCTTATAAAGTACTCTTAATCGGTTAAATACCTCTTAAAAATTCAGACATACAACCAAGTCCGAAAAAGAATAAAAAAAAGACATCCATGCCTTAATAAAACACACTTCCTTTTCTTTTCATACACACGCTCCTTCTTTTATTCTCATCCGCCTAGACACCTCTCTTCCACCCCCATGTGCTACAACTTCCAGAGGGTGTTTGAGATTATTTTTCAAAATGACTTTTTAGTTTTTTGGCTTTTTCAAAAAGCTAAAAGTTTAAAAAAAAGTGTCTATCAATTTCACAAGTTCTTTTAGAATGATTTTTTGATAAGAAGAAACTCTTTTAAAAGTCATGAATTGGTGACTTTTGATGACTTTTGGTTTTTTGGCTTTTACCCTTCAAAAGTTAATCTACGCACATTTTAATTTTTTTTTTTTTTGGGAAAAGCCATAAGTTAAAAGACAAAACTACAAAAATGGTCCTTATGGTATGCATTTTTTCCGAGGTTGGTCCAAACCTCGATTTTTTTTTTTTTGGTTTTATGGTCCTTTTAATGTAGTTTGTTTATGGTTTTGGTCTGTCGACAAACTGAATGACTGTAATGCCCTTATGATTTATCTTTTATGTTTTTTCTATTTAATTTAAATGAAAAAGAAAATAATTAATTAATTTGGACCCACATCTCTCTTTCTCTTACAACCAAAAAACCATTTTCTGACCTTTTACTTTCCTCTTCCCACAAGCCCATTGATGAATACTTCCTCATAGAAAATATACCTCTTCCCACAAGCCCATTGATGAACCCACAAGCCCATTGATGAATACTTCCTCACAGAAAATATACCTCTTCCCACAAGCCCATCGATGAATACTTCCTCACAGAAACCAGAAAATCTTATCTTCATGACCAAAGCTTGATATTGCAGTCTACAAACCTATTCCCGTGAATGCCTTTTTTCTATATTGTAAGTTACTGAAATCATCCCTATGGTTTGGTCAAAATTGCACATTTGGTCCCTAACTTTTTTTTTTGCATTCGGATCATCACTGTGATTTGATTTTGTTGCGTTTTTCGTCACTATAGTTTGATAAAAATTGCATGTTTGGTCCCTAACTTTATGTATGTAAGGGATGAAAAATGCAACAAAATCAAACCACAGGGACGATTCGAGTGCAAAAAAAGTTAGGAACCAAACGTGCAATTTTAACCAAACCATATGGACGATTTCAATAATTTACTCTCTATATTATTTGGAGATCTTCATCAATCATCAATTTCATCCATGGGTATGTGCTTCAAGCTCATATATCATTATTAATTTCAAACACCAATGATTTTTCAGGATTAAATAGTTGAGGAATCTGATTCTAGGGTTTTCTCGATGTTCTTCATCTTGATCTCATACTCTAGATTTTGCTCAAATTAATGATTAACAATATATATATATATATATATATATATATATATATATATATATATATATATTGGATTGTCGGATAAACCTGTTAATCGATTATTGTGGGTGATTTAATATATAACAAGAAGTTTGATTATGGAACCAATTTTCTTGAAATTGGTTGTTGAAGATCTTTCACTGGGGTGTTCTTCAACATTTTGAATCTAGGTCTCGATCGTATTTCTTGGTTTCAATGACAACTTAGAATATTTTAATTTCAAAGAGTTGAGGTGAGATACGAAATAGAGATAACTAAGATCTCATCCCTTTGTTTGTTTGTTTTTTTCCAGTTGGTGGTGGTTGTACCAGAGGTGGTGGGAGTTAAATCGGCGATCTTGAAGATGGTGATGGCTACGATCTTCTTTAAGTGTGAGGGTATTGGATGATAAATTCAAGGAAACTCACCATTCCCATTCTTTTGGTATTTGTGGCTCGAGTAGTGGTCGTTCTGGTTAATGGTGGCGGCTAGGGTTGCGATGGGAAAAAGGAAGAAGAGAGAAGAACGTAGGTGATGGCGATGAAGTTGAACGATTTTTGGGTTTTGTGTATATTGATTTTGGAGTGTGTACGACTTTGTATTACTCGAATCTTAACCTAGAACATCATATGATCCATTATTGTGTGTATGTGTGTGTTGTATCAGGAAAAAGAAGTGAGGCTTGCCTGTGTTGAATCTGAACCTAAATATTCATATGGTTCTTCCCCATATCTTTATATATTCATACGGTCTTCATTGTGTGTGTGTGTGTGAGAGAGAGAGAGAGAGAGCCAACCAACAACCAAAGTTGTATGCATTATATGAACAGAAAACAACCGTTCGGGATCATTCAATACAACGTTATGAACATGATACCAAGACAAACCCATAGAAATACCCTTTATGAAAGAAAAAAGATACTACATAACTTTATTGCATTGGAAATATACTATGACTATGTTATGGACCCCCCATTTTTGTTGTTTTAATTATTAAATTATTAAAAAAGATATTAAAAAATATAAAAAAAATGTATAATAGTCTTTTTAATTTGCGGAGGACCATCATAACCATTAAACCAAAATAATCAAGGCTTGAGGTTTGGACTAAACCTTGAAAAAAATAAATGCCAAACCATTCGCCTCCGCCTTCAGCTGCTGCGCTTGTACCGCCTTAACAATTAGGGATGAACATGGTACGGTTCGGTGCGGTTTTTGTATAAAACTACAACCGCAACCGCAAATTGCGGTTTTTTAAAACCAAAAACCGAAAATTGCGGTTTTGATTCGGTTCGGTTTTGCGGTTATTTTTGCAGTTATTTCGGTGCGGTTTCGGTTTTTAACCATAAAATGAGATGGTGCGGTTTTTCAGTTAAAATGTGCTGTTTTTCATGTTCAAAACATCAAAATTTAATCGACTTTTATTTATTTCAAGATTTTCATTGCAAATAAATCACAATTTTGGTTCATATTTATTCTTTCAAGTTGCATTTTATTATATTATATTGAATTCATTTCATTCAAATAATTAACAATATGTCTAACATTTACTAACCACCATTTACACACCAAAAACTAAACAATAAAAATCGTAAGATGATAAAATTGATAGTTTATTTTATTAATTAATAATATTTAAGTTTTATAAATATTTAAATAATATATTAAATTATACGGTTTGCGGTTATTTCGGTTAATTTGGTGCGGTTATTAAGCATAAAACCGAATCGCACCGCAATTTTTCTGGTTTTCAAAATTAAAAACTGTACCATCGGTTTTTGTTTCGGTTTCGATTTATGCCGTTATTTCGGTTTTTTTGGGTTTCGATTTGGTTTTTGCTATCCTGTTAACAATGCACGCTCATCCACGTTGTTCCTCTACAACTTAGCAGCTTCGGTCGTCGTCACCCTCCCACACCTCCGGCACCACCGCCGCACATCTGAGCTTCAGATCCTCTTCAGGTTTGTAATCCGTTCTTCAGAAATCCTTGATTTTTTTTTTCTTCTGAAATCCATGGGGGGCGTTGAGGGGGGGCAAAGTGAGCAGTTGCAAATGACCCAATTTTTTTATTATATATTTTATATACATTTATTTAAAAATAAAAAAATTATAATAGTAGTAGGGGCCTTTTTTCTCTGATCATCCTCAAGACCGCCCTGTTGAAATCGATGATAAGGTCCCAATGCTCTTCTCCAACTCTGATGAAATTGATGATTTCTTGTTGAAATCGATGATGTTGTGATGGAATTGTGTGCTGATTTCATCTGATGGTCAGATGTCTTTATGAAAATTTTGATGGTTTGATTATGTTGAAATCTGATGAAAAGTTTGTTGCTGAAAAATAGCTTGGTTTGGTTTGGTTGCTGAAGTTAGAAGTTTAGATTGGACGGGAGATTGTTGGGTAGGAGTAACAAGTCAGTGAGTGAATCACAGTGTGAAATTACAATCTTTGTTTCTGTTTCTTGTTATTCCGGCGGCTAACCCGAAAAACCGACGTTAATACGGTTATCGGGTTGTTTGGGTAATAACCCGAAAAAACTTCCCGATGCTCACCCTTGGACCCGACCCGAACATGAAAAACCTATTATGCTATTTGCAGGAATCTACTGTTGAGCGGCTTTTCTATTGGGGAATCAAACAGCCTCGCTTCTACGCTTTCATCCCCGGTGATTTAAACACAAGAGTTGTCAAAAGCAGAATATCCCACCAATTTCAATTTCACGAAGGTTTGTTTCTTTTCTTTCTTTGTGATTTTCTACGATGCAGAGTAAAACTAGGTTTAATTGTTGGATGCTTAGTTGAAACCGAACCCTTAAACCCCTTCAGGGTTTTTCATCTACAGATTTTCTTCAAGATACTCGAAGATGCAATTGACTCTTGAATTCGGGTAATTCCTTCATCTCTCTCTCGTACACAGTATTCATAAAATTTTATACTACATACTACTGTATTTCGTTGATCATATTATGTTTGTGATAGTTCTGGAGTATAAACCTTTGATACCTGATTTGAAACTTGAAATATCCCATAGTTTCATACACTTGATAATTGATAGTTAGAATAACTTTGGCACTTGTAATCACTTAATTGCATCTTTGAGTTTGCACAAACCAAACCAAAACACTGGAACCATTCAGCTTGATGAACATCTCTGTATTCCAGTGGAGGACTAGAACTTCTTTGTGACAACGTGAAGATCCATAGCGTCGATGTTGACCTACCAGCTGAAGAAAAGAAGGTCAAAATCCTTAAACTTTTCAAATACAATCACACAATTCTTCATATCTGTGATCCTTTTAGATTTTATAATCTTTCTTAATTGTGTTTCTTAGTTAACCATGAAGCACTTGCTTGCTTGGGTTCGCTCCAATTTAATCAAAGAGAGACCCGAAATGTTTATGAAGGGAGACACTGTGTAAGTTCCCACATTTTTCTTGATTTCTTATTTTTTTGGGCCCAAAATTTGAACATTTTTACAATTTGATTGTTTTGGTGTGTAGGCGACCTGGAGTTCTTGTTCTTGTGAATGACTGTGATTGGGAATTGAGTGGCCAACTTGATACAACCTTGGAAAATAAGGATGTTGTAGTGTTCATCTCTACTTTGCATGGGGGATAGTTGAAATGTTTCCATATGTTTATTTTTTGGCGACAATGAATGTTATAAAGTATTTATCAATGTAGTAAACTGAGTTTTGATTAAAATCAAAGTTGTAACCTTCACTTGTTATGATGTCACTGTGTTTAAGAATGTGTAAACTTGAGTTTTGATTGTTTATGCTAATGAACAATGGTTATGAAGATCTTATTACAAAGAGTGTATTTTTTGCAACCTACTTGTGATAAAAACTGGGTTTTATGGTTAAATGGGACTTTTCGAAGTACAATTATTAGTATTGTTTTGCTTATGATATTCATAACAAAATTGATTGTAGAAGTATTAAAGTACAATTACATATTTTAAGCAAAACTACAAAAACTGATTAACTGAGCTCTACACAGTATTAACCAGAATTTAGAAAAAAGAGAAAAAAATGGAATGTTGACAGTGGGATTTGAACCCACGCCCTTTCGGACCAGAACCTTAATCTGGCGCCTTAGACCAACTCGGCCATATCAACTTTGTTGTTAGTTCCTTCATTCTTTTACCTATATATAATCGTATTATTTGTTTGTTGTTTATTTTCTCTTATTTTGGTGTTTGAGATGGATAAACATATTTTATAAATGCTAAAATCTTGGTTATGTTATATAATCCTTAGGAAACGTGTAGTCAAATTTGTGAATATGTCCAAATAAAAACTAATCAAAGTACTTTCTTTTTCATTTTATTCTTTGAATGATTGTATGTTTATACCAAAGACGATTCAGTAAGTTGGTAACAATTTATTATCCACATTCCTTAGTTTAAGGGAGTGAAGACGATTTGGCCACGTAAAGATGTATAATCCACTATACAACCGATTGGAACAACCTTCTTACATGATTTCCAAAACTTCAATTCAACCAAGAAAAATCCCAATTTGTATTCTGATTTCCTAGTTTGACCATACTTAAATATATAACATAAATAGCTGAAATGGCTAATCGTTTTCCAATCATTCTACACAACAGGCTCCCCATTTTGGCGGGTGTTCATATCAATGCTTCAGTTTCTAGTTTTAGTATCAACAGTTGCGGTCAATTTTCTAAAACACTGAAGAGGAGTAAGAATTTAAGCAGCTACAGAGTACCTCGGCGACTGGTTTTCGGAATTGGAGTTTCATTTTGGTCACAATTCATAAGCATGGCTGGCAATTCTGGCACTAATTCCATCATCGCATCAGCCAGGACAAAAGGTGCTGTTGAACAGGTTCGCTTCACTTTGGGTTTTAGGGTTTGTTATCTAATTTGGGGTTTTCGGTGATTCGATGAATACACCATGAATTGAGATAAGATTCGGGTGATTTGATAAATTATCATATGTACCTTGCTTCCTTGATCATATTTACAGATACTGGAAAACGTAGAATGGCCCGAACAGTTTCCATTCAAGGAAGAAGATTTCCAGCGTTTCGACGAGTACGACCTCTAAAACTAATCATGATTGCATTTCATTCCTAACAATCTTGTGTTGAGCTCCTCGAAACATTTCATTACACTCAATCCAACTTTGTTTGGAACTCCTAAGAACTTAATCGTTTCAGTTTGAATTGGGCGTTTGGTGTTACTGCAGATCATCGGATTTAATTTTCTATGAAGCTCCACGTTTTGTAACCCACATCGATGATCCAGCCATTGCAGCTCTTACCAAGTATTACAAAGAAGCTTTTCCACCAAGTAACACTCCAGGGGTAGCTCTTCTTGACATGTGTAGTAGTTGGGTGAGTCATTTTCCTGCAGGCTATAAGCAAGAACGAATTGCAGGTATGGGTCTTAATGAAGACGAGCTCAAAGCCAATAAAGTAAGAATCAAACTTATGCATATTTTTTTGCATTTTTTAAAATTCTTTTCCTTATCATCTCCCATTATATTGTAGATTCTCACTGAATATGTGGTGCAAGATCTAAACACGAACCCTAAGCTTCCATTTGACGATAATTCCTTTGATGTTATCACAAACGTGGTGCGTATCAATCACAATTAATTTGGGCAACTAACTTTGACATGGGATTTGACTAATCTGTCTTGGATTAATGTAGGTTAGTGTTGATTATTTGACAAAACCGATTGAAGTGTTCAAGGAGATGAGTCGGGTCCTTAAGCCAGGTGGCAAGGCTATAATGAGGTGATACAATGATACTTTTAACGAATGAATTCTTTAGGACAAGAAAGTTAAGGATATGAGTATAAAGATTATGAATCTTGGAAATGAACAGTTTTTCAAATCGGTGTTTTTGGACAAAGGCGATATCAATATGGACATCAACCGGTGATGCGGATCATGTTATGATAGTTGGAGCATATTTTCACTATGTGGGAGGATTTGAACCACCCCAGGTGAGTAATATGAGTACTAGATGTAATTTTTACAAAAAAAACGTAATTTTGACTTTGAAAGTCAAACAAACCGACATTTGACTTTGTAAGAAATTCGTTATAATAATCCGTGCAGGCTGTAGATATATCTCCGAATCCTGGGCGTTCTGACCCGATGTACATTGTCCACTCCAGAAAGTTGGCAACAGCATGAAAAGTGAAAACTAGGTTGGTATGGATATCTATGATGTCGAAATAAATAAAAAAAAAATTATTGTTCAAAATTTTGTTAGGATATGGTGTCAGAATTCAGAAATAACTAAAGTCCATGATAATATAGCATCAGTATGTACTTGTTTAGTGAGAGAACAAGTGTGTGTAATACTTATCATAGTTACTCAACGATTAAGATGGAATATTTCCCAAAATCAAAAGTTAAAGAAAGCAATCCTCGTATTGTATTAATGTATTATTTGTTACCTGATTAAGCTGTTAGACAAGAATAAGCTTAGATTATATGTCCATAGGGTCTCATACCACACCCACGTTATTATTGTACCATATCATTTTCCTTCTTACCCCACAAAACTGATACCACACCTTATCATATTTTCCTTCTTTTTATTAAGTGAATAAAATCTAATTATATAAAATTAATAAAAAGAAAATACTTCATTAATTAAAAAAAATACAAACTACATTAAAAACATAAATAAAAAATGTACTCAAAACATCAAAAAAAAAAAAAACATGAGCTAGTCATATCATCAAAATGTTCGTGCGAATTTCCTTCAATCATTTATGACTTGTCATTGGTAGCGTCGAACAACTCGTCTTCATCAAAATCATTGCCATGTATACGTGTGTACCAATACCAACTCCTACATTTGGTAAAATTCTCATTTTATATTGTAGTGGCAAATCACTTTCCACTCATCTTCTATAATCATATTATGTAATATAATATATGCATACAACTTCTACTTTCCTTAAAAATCGCTTTCCCCTCATCTAAGCATTTGATTGTTGTAAGCAACGCAATTCACGATTGTTTTCATCAATTAAGTAGTTATTTAACCTTTGAAAGTAGTTATTATAACTTCTACTTTCCAGTGTTGATCAAGGGATTTTAAGGCAACATGTTAGGTTACTTGATTATAAAATTTAAACTTGGAATAAAAGTTAAAAAATTTGTAAATATTGGTGGTTATAAATTTCAGGCCTATGAAGCTAATAGGTTTCTCACTTGGAGCACACACAATCTTCAAATGTCTTCAATATCTAGCAGAAACTAGACACATAAATTGCTAATTCTATGGAATCAGGTTTGGTGTAGCGGATTCTGATGGATTGACAAATATTATCATTTTGCTAGAACCGGATTTTGATTTTTTTTTTTTATTTTTATTTTTAATTATAAATTTAATTATCATTTTGTTTAGTGGTTCCAGCAAGTTGATGATTTTATATGTCAAGTGGTTTCTTCATAAGGCTTTGTTTATATGTTGATTTTATAGTTCTTTTTAGGGTTTAATATAAGATATATCAATATATTTCCATCGATTTGTTTGTTTTAGCATTCTACTTTCATATCTTCCTATTATAGGCTTATATCATTGCTATTTTGAATAGTTTATCGAATTATAGCAATGTTGTCAAAATACAATGTAATTTTAACTTCAAATGGGTAGATTTTCAAAGTAGAGTGCCATAATAAGAAAAAAAACTTAAAGAAGAATGCTATAATTGTGTAAATTTGTCAACAGTATGAAAGTAAATTTATTCGAACATGACACCTTGAATGATTCTGGAATGTCAAATTGACTAGTTAATATTATTTAACAAATGTGAATAAATAAGTATGGAAGTATTGTATAGTGTAAGAACGATTCTAAAGAGAATAACAACTTTGACACCTTGAATGATTCTGGAATGTCAAATTGAAAAAATAAAAAGACAAATCTGAGAAATTTCATTCATTACTTTCCAAAAAATAGCAAAAATAATAAAAAATAAATAAATAAAAAAAACAAAAAAATAATCAATCCAGCACATAAATCGTAGATGGGCATAATGGGCTGTGATTTCATGAAAATATATACTAAAAAATAACTTAATGGGCTGTGATTTCATGAAAGTATATAAAAAAACCCACGAAATCTAGATGACATTTGACATCTACGATTTTAAGTATTTTTTTTTCAAACCTTAAATACCTTGGGTGTATCATCCTAATCTTTATATGGTCGAAAACTATATTAGTTATAAAATTCACGATATTTAATAATGAAATTAATGAATACAAATATCTAAAAATTTGTTCATTTTTGGCAAACTCTGTATAATCAAACATATAGATCGATGATAATTTCCATGCATATGATTCGTGATTCGTGACTTGTGAATATCTAGTGTAATACGTTCATTAATTGCTCATTGATAACAAAGGAATAATCCAAAAATCAAAAGTAAACCAAAAGCAGATTCTTGTATTGTATTATATGGTGAAGTAAATTCCACAAAATGAAGTTCACAAAAAGTACAAAACGAATATATGCATTGCACACCACTAGCTTCAACAAAACAAACCCTTTCATCATTACAACTTCTAATACATAACGTACTACTCATTAAAGAACTAGTCTAGTTTACTTTTTGGGTCCAGCTTGTGAATTCTTGTAAGCATTAAACGCTATGAGATAAAGGAAAACCAGAGCAACAATGGCAACGATCAATATCACGTTGGCTTCCTTCCATTCTTTCCGAAGGTTCCCTAACACTCCCGCTTTACATGAATCGCAATTGTAGCACAGTTGATTCGGGTCGTTGTTCCATATGATACAGTCCACATCGCCCATCGGGTTCGTCGGATTAATCCACGTTATCGGATTCACGTATTGATACCCACACACTGTCGGAGGCTTACAACATCCCGACTGAAAACGAATACAACTTTATAATCACATATATGATATGATATGATATATATATATATATATATATATATATATATATATATATATATATATATATATATATATATATATATATATATATATATGTGTGTGTGTATATATAACTAATCACATGATCACACACAGACAAAACACAAAAGAAAGATAATTACCTGAAGAGATGAGATACGTGCATTAAAGAACTGTGGTGCAGTGTAAGAATCGCGAACCATTTTGGAACAAATGGAAGATGAAGCCAAACACGCCTTTATACTCCGCCAGTTCTCTGGATCGGTGATATGCTCCCGGAGCCATTCCGAGTACCCCATGTAACGATACTCGTCATACTCCCGACCGGGAACGGAGTATGCGCCGGAAGGGTGGGTGACGATGAAGGCGAGTATGAGGAGGATGATTCCGGTGACGATGAGGGCGGCGTTGCAGAAAAGGTAAAAGGATAATAAGCCTTGGTTGTTCCAGTGAGCTCCGATGAAGCCGGTGAGAGCTAGGAGGAGGAAGAGGACGCCGAGAAAGATGATGGGCCAGGGGAGTGAGCGGATGCATTGGTTGTCTGGTTTCGAGGCCAGCCAGATGCCGGTGAAGATGATTGGGATTGAACATATGAGTGCTATGAAGTTTATGGTGGCTATGATGTTGTTGCTTACTGCCATGGCGGAATTTTAGAAAGTTGGAGAAGATGATTGAAGATGTAATGTTTGTTATGGGTTTGGGAACATATTCTATACCCACCCATATAAAAAAATATATTTGGTGTTTGCTTTATAGATTCTGTAAGGATTATGTAGAAAAATAGGTAGCTGAATAGCTGATTATAAAATTTATAAATTGATTCTTTTCTAGTTTTTTTTATGTATGCAATGATATAAAAGATTTGATTGGAAAGTGGGGTTTCTTGACTCTTGTCATTAGTGATTTAGTCATATTTAGTCGTTTGTTGCCTAACATCACCATTGGTAAGCACGTCCATGACTTGGCTTAACATGACCATGTTTAGATTATGTAACAAACAAATCAAACTTTGATTGTAGACTTATTGGTTAAAATGAATACCATGTTGTTCTATTGTTTTAACTACTGAACATAATTGCATTAAAACGTGAGAAAAAAACTACACAGGACGCGAATAAGTTATGGCCTCGCAAATCATTCGAGCACATAACAACCACAATTGCATACTTGTGAATGATGATCACGAAATTAATATATTCTCACAGAATTTTGCACCTATATAAGATGTCATGGTTGGCTAACGATTGCTATCAATTTCCTATCTCTTTCTATATAAGAAGTTGAGTTTCAAGTGCTTTTGTCTCCTATAGGCCATCCAAGATGACCTTGAAAGAGAAAAGAATTGAAAGGTCTGTCGATACAAACTTATATCATTTTGATGAAAAATGTCATTGTTCCATTCTGAATATATTCTCTGGTGTCGGCTTGTGAGGTGTTCATCATTCACGTTGGTGTTGTTTTCCTTAACACTACTTCGATTTCAGTCAAAGAAATGGTGTTGCATGCTTATCAAAATCAAATAACAAAAAGAATTAAATAACCTAAAATGGCTAAAACCTACTCCACATAATCTTCAAGTAATAGTTACGATTGTCAAATTTACTTAAATATGAAAGCATATTGATTACTAAGTTGCAAAACAATTATGTTTCTTAACTGATGATGATCCTCATACGCAACAAATATGATGATCTTCACTCATTTTTTTTTCGCGGTTCGTGATACCTTTTCCACAAAGGTTACAGTTATTTTGTTAAAACTCATCAAATGAAGGTTACCCAGAGATATGAAATTCCAAGAGATTATAGTTACAATTCTTAGTTGTAACGATTAGAATGCTTATACTAAATCTATAATTGAAAATAACTTGAACGAAATTTGTATTTCTCATATAAAAATAGCAAAAATAAATAAATTAATAAGTAGTTTTTTAAGGATAAGGATAAAAAGTTTAAAGCTTAAATTAATAACATAAGATATTTACAAACAATAGAACAAAATAATAAGACAAAACTATAAATTTGGTCCTTGTGGTTTGCAAAAATCTTTGAATAGGGTCAAAAAAGTTTCTGACTTGCATAGAATGTCCAAAATCAAAGTTTTTCTGGGTTTTTAGTCCTAAACTTAGGAAATTTTTGTACTTTTGGTCCATAGAGCATTTGAATTGACTGTTTTGCCCTTTAAATTTCTTTTTTGTATTTTTTATATTTTTCTTTTATAAATATTAATGCAAAAAAAGGAATTAAGTTGGCTCACCCATCTCTCTCTCTCTCTCTCTCTCTCTCTCTCTCTCTCTCTCTACCCACCCCATGGGAGCCCTCCCCCTCTCTCTCTTCCTCCTCATCCACTACTAGAAACATGGGTTTTAGAGATGGACGAATCTGTCGCTATTCCGTCGCTAAATGTTGTTTGAGATGGATTAGCAACAAACTTACTCCATAGCTAAATACAGTGTGGCTAATTACCTAGCAAGGGTTTTAGCGATGGATCAGTTTATCTTTGCGATGAATTTAGCAACGGAGTATCCGTCGCAAAATGGTCCCTTAATACAATTATTTAGGACATTCGCGACAAATTTGATAACAATATTCCATCGATGTTCTGTCGCAATCTTCATATCCTTTTTTTTTAACCCGTCGCTATTCCTTAGCAGATCTCATATATTATTTTTTATTTTTCCATAGCTAATGCCTAGCAAACTTTGTAAATGATTTTTTTTATTTTCCGTAGCAGATCCCTAGCAAACTCTAGATATGATTTTTTTTCCGTTGCTGTTCCCTCACAAATATATAGAATCAAATTTTATTATTATTATTATTTTTATTATTATTATTATGAATATAAAAAAAGATATAAAAAACATCAACTAATAATACAATCCCAAAGCAAACATTTAACATTTAAAGAACACTAATAATAGAAAAAAATATATATATTATAATACCCAAAACTAAACATTAACATTACAATGCTAAAAACTATCAAATCATCCAAAAACATAGATATCGATGTTTACCAAATCATCCAAAAACATCAAATATTAAAAATTTACCAAAGCATCCAAAAAGATCATATGTCCATCTACCCACACATCTCTTCTCGTATACGTTCATACACAGCCTGCTGTTAAAACATGGATGTAAGATGTTATAATCTAGTATTTTGGTAAGTATAATGCTATGATAGGAAAATTTACAACATGGTAGAATTTGTAAGTACAATGTCATCATAGAAATTTTTTATAAAATACAATGTTATTGTACTAGGCTACTAGCTATTCCTTTCAAAAAGCTCACTGGATCAGACACAAATGCAGATCATAATATTCTTCCTTTGTTGAAAAGCAATGTACTTTTTAGACAATATATATATATATATATATATATATATATATATATATATATATATATATATATAAAGAATAACATTATAGGATGACACCCACATTAGAGTTTGTACTTTCAAATATAAGATATTGTACTTTCTATTCAATTATCATGCATATAAAATTTTAATAATTTAGTTTCTACATATAATATAAAAAATTCCAATATACTAACTGATTAAATTAAAGAATGAATTATTTTCTGACATATATTAGCAGTGGTTCACATAAAAAAATAGAAAGATGAATGAATATAAAAATTAAACTAGGACAATGAAGTATCCAAAACTTTAGCTGCCTATAGCTTAATGTACTCTTAATGTAATTTCATACATTTTTCTTATTAACACAACTGTACTTTCAAAATGCAATTCAAAAAATGCAAATGAAGCAGAGCCAAAAATAAATAAATAAATAAATAAATAAAACTAACCATTATTGGAGCAGCAACATGAGAATTTGGCTGTAACAAAAGGATGCTGCAAGAAATAATGCAAAAAATATTGGAACAACATAAGTCGAGACTTGAGAGAAATTAAAAAAGATTCAAATTTAGAATCACCTGCAACAAATTAGAAACAGATGGCCTCATCTCAGGTTCCCTGAAATATAACCAACTCAGTTTAACTGGAAACAAGGTGAAAAAACAAAGACCAAA